CGATGGACTATTCTATTAAAATTTTAGTATATAATCTTGTAGATAGATGAATTTAGACGACGTAAGAATGTTTTTCTTGGCGTCGAGAATAAGGAAGGACATTTAAGGGTATCCTGAATCCCGAATCCTTATACCAGTCGGGTACATGCAGAGCTTCCCGCCGCGTCGGCCCTTTTTTCCTTCTCATCGAGAGTATAGGGATGCATATTATTATAAGTGCCTAACTAGTACCTAACTAGAACTAACTAGCGGATCAAGCGTTGCAGGTGCCCAAGTGTTGGAGGACGGATATGGATATTATTGAAGCTGCAGGCAGTGTAGGCGTTCGCACTAGGCCTTACCAAAACGGGGAGATCCTGATTATCAGAATCCACTTACGCCCAAATTTTGCGATGGAAATGACGTTATACCTTGCAGGCGGAAGCAGATTGAGTCGTCTCAATCACTCACTACCTAGGTAGGTAGGTCCTATACAATATGATTAATGACTAGTAGGTACCGAGTGGGCATAACCCTTGGTTGATGAAAAGTTTGAAAAATAGGTATTTTTGAAATGTGAAGTGACGTGAAGTGAAGTAGAGCGAAGCGTCGTTTATTTTGTTTCGGGTAGTACCGAAAAGTGAATGGGACCAATCAAAGTCCCTGGGAACGTTGTGATACATGTGGTGCTAAAACAAGGGACCAACAGGGCTAGGCTAAAAACTTTCTAGATCCAGAACGGAAATGAATCAATTAGCTGAGAGAAGCCGACGTTCCGGGAAAATGCACGAAACAAATCATATTATTACTCAGCTTATTAATAATATTAATATAAACATCTATAATAATACCCTTCTGTCTTAATATTGTTGGGAAAAGAGATTCGAGGATGCGGGGATATGCATTTGTGATATGTGATAGGTGATAACTTGTAGTACGAACGAACAAATGAGGGCAGCGTTGGATAATGAGAATGAGAAATGCATACTAGGTATGTATATACTTCTTATATACTTCCAATGACTTCAACTAAACTCAATGCTTACTGCAAATTTCTCCACCAGTAAGTAGCAATGGGATAGGAATAGCTATGGCCTACGATGGGAATTGTAATCCACCGAGATTTGTGAGAAAGAGAATAACTGCCGAGACAACTTCAAACGTTGCGATCGAATCACGAAAGCGGATCGTATTATCATAGATTCCAAACAGGCAAGAGACAAAAAGGCCCAAGCTGGAAAGCAGGACGCAGGACATGAACTAGTAATAAGACCAACTGTTGATGATTTCATGGGAGAAAAGCATGATGCCATGAGAATGTCACTTGACAGAGATAATCACATGGTATCACATGGTATCACATGGTATCACATGGTATCACATGCCATGTTGGATTTCCCCAGCTTATTAGCCCCGAATCAATCTAGTTCGCAAGATAACGATCGTCTCTGAACCTCCAAGGCTCTCTCTCCTTCTTTTCCTCTTTTGCCATTTCACAACTTGGTACTCATTATAGGCAACGATGACTTCGTCTATGATCCATGAGTCCCAAGGTCATATGCAAAGAGCGAAAAAAAAACGACTTGATTTGATGCTCTCAGAACGGCACCTGCTCCTACACAGAAGATAATGGTGATGGATGGAAAAGTGTATTCCCGTGGTATGATGATCAATGATGCTACCTCCTTACCTTAATGTTAACCCCCAAATCAAGGTCTTTGGCCGTTTACCGATGGTAGTTATTGATATTAATCTCCCCCTTTCTGATGTCCTCTGGATTTTGAAGGAGGTCAATCGATGGAATAGTAACCTATATATTGATCCCGTTGATGATAGGCGTCGCCTCGGAAGTGTAGTAACCTTACCGATACCGATGTATTTCAATGATGCTAGACACATGCAGGTTCTACCCCTTCAGTCACCTTCATCTCCGTCCCCAGATCAATTAAAAACCACTTTATACAGAAACTGAGTTTAGAGTTTCTTCGGGACCGAGTTTAGTTCCCTTGCTCCATCAATCCCCACAAGAACCTTAACGGCTTCGAAGTTTGAGCCCCACAAACCCCACAACCCAATCACCAACCCCGCATCTTCTGCAACCTCAACCGCGCACCGTCGCCACACTAATCCCCACCCACTACCTACGCTTGAAGATAATTCTTTCCATGCCTGAAACGCATCAAACATGGGATTTTGGTTATTCATCAAGGTCCGGATCACATGCTGATGTTCAACGGGTATCACAATGCTCTCCCCAAGAAGAATATAAGAACTGGGAGCATGGCTCAAGTGTTTCGACCCCAACTCATCTTTCTCTTCATCTCATCCATCATACGAGGTTCGGAATACCCGTAGAAGATCAACATGCGTTCTTCGCATTTCGTCACCGCCGTTGCTTCCCTCCCGTCTCTGGTACAAGCTCTCATTTTGACCGATATCTGTACGCCGACGTATCTTGCAGCCAATTTCCCACCCGTCGATTTCTATGATGGAATTACCCTTGATCCAACGTCCATCACAGCTAAGACGGTGACAAATGCCTCATCCTCGAGTGTCTTTTACCCTAATGCTGTGATCGATTACTGTGCTGTTACTTTCAAGTACTCTCATGATGGCCTAGGTGACAGTGTTCTCCTCACATACTGGGTTCCTGCGCCTGCAAAATTCCAAAATCGTTACCTCTCTACAGGTGGTGGTGGATATGCAATCAACTCAGGACCTATGTCATTACCTGGAGGAGTGCAATATGGAGCAGTTGCTGGTGATACCGATGGTGGTTTTGGAATCTTTCAAAACAATGCCATTTCGGATTTTCTACTTGCGAACGGTACACTCAATTGGCAAAACGTCTATATGTTTGGATACAAGGCTATCCATGAGATGAGTGTCATTGGAAAGGAGTTCACCGCGTCAATTTTCAACATGACGGCTAATAACGCTACGTTGTATTCTTACTATCAGGGTTGCTCGGAAGGCGGCCGAGAAGGATGGAGTCAAGTTCAACGTTTTGCGGATCAATTTGATGGAGCGACAATTGGAGCACCAGCTTTCAGATTCGCGTTCCAACAGGTACAACATCTATATTCGAATGTTGTGGAGAAAACTTTGGATTATTATCCACCGCCTTGCGAACTGCAGAAGATAGTGAATGAGACGATCATTGCTTGTGATCCATATGATGGTAAATCAGATGGAGTAGTCTCCCGAACCGATCTGTGCACGATGAACTTCAACATCTCAACTCTATTAGGCAAGCCATACTCGTGCCCCGCTTCAGCAGGAGGATTTGGAGGTCCTCCTTCACCCGCACAAAATGGATCCGTCTCAGCCAAGGGTCTAGCAGTAGCGCAGAAAATCCTCGACGGTCTTCACACCAGCGATGGTAAACGCGTATATTTCACCTACACCCCATCCTCCACCTTCACCGATGCCGCCACATCTTACAACGCAACCAGCGGACAATTCGGACTGGATATCACCTCCCTAGGCGGATCCTTCGTTGAAGTCCTCCTCGATCTTAAAAACGGTTCCAACCTCCAATCTCTCCAAGGAGTCACGTATGATACACTCCGCGACTGGATCCAAGACGGTTGGAATCGCTACAACGATGTCCTCATGACCAACTGGCCGGATCTCACGCCCTACAAAAATGCCGGCGGGAAAATCATCCATTTCCATGGTGAATCCGACTACAGCATCCCGACCGCTTCCTCGGTTCGATATTTCGAATCCGTGCGGGAAATCATGAACCCGGGCCTCTCCTACAACGATTCCATCGCGGCGACCAATGAATTTTACCGGCTCTTCCTCGTCCCGGGCGGTTCGCATTGCGCGGTCAATGCGGCCGAACCCAATGGGCCGTGGCCGCAAACGAACTTGCAGGTCTTGATTGATTGGGTGGAGAATGGGGTGGCGCCTGTGACTTTGAATGCGACGGTTCTGCAGGGAGTGAATAAGGGGGAGAATCAACAGATCTGTGGGTGGCCTCTAAGGCCGTTCTGGACGAATAATGGGACGTCGATGGAGTGTCGATATGATCAGGAGAGTATCGATTCTTGGATTTATGATTTGGATGCTTTTGATATGCCGGTTTATTAGGTTTGGGTTGAGATGT